TTCTGATTGGTTGTTTTTTGCTTCCTTATGTTTGAAATCATTGATTTGATTTTTGGCTTCATCCACTCTACTATGGATTCCCTGTAAATTATTCATTTTAAAAATATTTTATTGATTATGCTATTACAGTTGTCCCATTTTCCCCTCTTCACTCCCCTCCACCCTGCACACCCTCTCCCACCCACATTCCCCCACTTTAGTTCATGTCCATGTGACATACATATAAGTTCTTTGGCTTCTACATTTCCCATACTATTCTTACCCTCCCCCTGTCTATTTTCTACCTACTATCTATGCTACTTATTCTCTGTACCTTTTCCCCCCTCTCTCCTCCTCCCACTCCCCTGTTGCTAACCCTCCATGTGACTTCCATTTCTGTTGTTCTGTTCCTGTTCTACTTGTTTTGCTTAGTTTCTTTTTGTTTTTGTTTTAGGTGTGGTTGTTAATAATTGTGAGTTTGCTGTCATTTTACTGTATATATTTTTTATCTTCTTTTTCTTAGATAAGACCCTTTAACATTTCATAAAATAAGGGCTTGGTGATGATGAACTCCTTTAACTTGACCTTATCTGAGAAGCACTTTATCTGCCCTTCCATTCTAAATGAAAGCTTTGCTGGATAGAGCAATCTTGGATGTAGGTCCTTGCCTTTCATGACTTGGAATACTTCTTTCCAGCCCCTTCTTGCCTGTAAGATTTCTTTTGAGAAATCAGCTGACAGTCTGATGGGAACTCCTTTGTAGGTTGCTGTCTCCTTTTCTCTGGCTGCTTCTAGGATTCTCTCCTTATTTTTAATCTTGGCTAATGTAATTATGATGTGCCTTGGTGTGTTTCTTCTTAGGTCCAACTTCTTTGGGACTCTTTGAGCTTCCTGGACTTCCTAAAAGTCTATTTCCTTTGCCAGAATGGGGAAGTTCTCCTTTATTATTTGTTCAAATAAATTTTCCAGTGGTTGCTCTTACTCTTCTCCTTCTGGTATCCTTATAATTTGAATGTTGGAACATTTAAAGATGTCCCGGAGGTTCCTAAGCCTCTCCTAAATTTTTTGAGTTCTTGTTTCTTCATTATTTTCTGATTGGGTGTTTCTTTCTTCCTTCTGGTCCATACCATTGATTTGAGTCCTAGTTTCCTTCCCATCATTATTGGCTCCCTGTACATTTTCCTTTATTTCACTTAGCATAGCATTCATTTTTTTTATCTAATTTGTGATCAAATTCAATCAATTCTGTGAGCATCCTGATTACCAGTGTTTTGAACTGTGCATCTGATAGGTTGGCTATTTCTTCATGGCTTAGTTGTATTTTTCTGGAGCTCTGATCTGTTCTTTCATTTGGGCCATTTTTTTTTTGTCTTGATGTGCCTGTTACATATGAGGGGCAGCGCTTTATGTGTTTACCAGGGTGGGGTAACCCATGTCACTGTGTTGTGACACTATATGTGAGGGAGGGGTCTGAGAGGGAACAATGGCGCTTGCCCCACTCTCTGCTGGATTTTAGTCCCTTACCCTGCTTCCCTCAAGCAAACTGGACCCTGCTGGTGCTGATTCCTATGTGGGTGGGCTTGTGTACATTCTAGGACACTGTGGGTCTCTCCAACGAACTCTCCTGTGAGGCTGGGAGTTTCTCCCACTGCCGTCTCAACCCTCACAAGTGTTTTCAATCAGTGGTTTGAGGCTTTATTTCCCTGTGCCCAGTTACCCAGTTTCCCAGTTTCCCGCTCCCCAATTTTGCTTGGTTTATCTGTGTGCCAGTGTGGGACCGCCCGGTCTGCCAGCCGCTTTGTGGGCTGCACCCCTCCACGATCTGCTGCTTCACTGGGTCTGCCAGCCGCCACCTTGCCGTGAGTCCTCTCCATCTGGGCTGCCCAACTCTGTCCCTTCTATTGGTCTGGGTGAATATTTCATCTTTAACTCCTTACTTTTTGGACTTCCATACAGTTTGATTTTCTGTGAGTTCTGGTTGTTTTTTGTTTGTAAATTGTTGTTGTCCATATTTTGGTTGCGCAAGGAGGCACAGTGTGTCTACCTACGCCTCCGTCTTGGCCAGAAGTTGTATCAACGCATTTTTTAAAAATCCAGTCATCTGTTGATAGACACTTAGATTGTTCCCATACCTTGGTTGTTGTAAATCATGCTGCAATGCCCCATTAACATGGGGTCTATTATATTTTTTTAACTTAGTGTTTTCATTTTCTTCAGATATATACCCAGGAGTGGAGTTGCTCGGTCATAAAGCAGCCCTATTTTTAATTTTTTGAGGAACCTTCAGACTGATTTCCACAGTGACTGCACCAATTTATTGTATTTTCCCACCAACTGTGCCCACAGGTTTCCTTTTTGCCACATTCTGGCCAACACTCATTTCTTATCTTTTTGGTAATAGCCATTCTAACAGGATTAAGGTGACAGCTCATGTGGTTTTGATCTGAGTTTTGTTGATTATTAGTGATGTTGAACCTCTTTGCATGCACCTGTTGCCATCTGTATGTCCTCTTTGGAAAAATGCCTATTCAGAACTTCTGCTCATTTTTAAAAATCAGATTATTTTTTGCTATTGAGTTGTATGAGTTCTATATATATTTTGGATATTAACCCCTTATCAAACATGATTTACAAATATTTTCTCCCATTTGATAGGTTGCCTTTCATTTCATTGATAATTTCCTTTGCTGTGCAGAAGCTTTTTAGTTTGATATGGTCCCACTTGTTTATTTTTGCTTGATTGTCTTTGGTTTTGGATTCAGATCCTAAAAATCTTTGTAAGACTTATGTCAAGGAGCTTCTTACCCATGTTTTCTTCTATGAGTTTTATGGTTTTGTGTCTTACATTCAAGACTTTAATCCATTTTTTGTTGATTTTTGTGTATGGTTTAAGATAGTGGTACACTTTCATTCTTTTACATGTGGCTGTTCATTTTCCCAGCAGCATTCATTGAAGAGACTGTCCTTTTTCCATTGTATATTCTTGGCTCCTTTGTCTTAAATTAATTTACCATGTATATATATACTAGTCTGTTTCTTGGCTCTCTGTTCCCATTGATCTATGTGCTTGTTTCTATGCTGGTACTGTACTGCTTTGATTTCTATAGCTTTGTAATACAGTTTGAAATCACAGAAATTGTGCGTCAGTCATTGTCCTTTCTCAAGATTGCTTTGTTTGGCTATCTGGGGTCTTTCGTCCTTCCATTGAAATTTTAGGATTGTTTATTCTATTTCTGTGAAAAAGGGCATGGGAATTTTGACTGTGGTTGCATTGAATCTATAAATTACTTTGGATAAGGCTTCACAGTAGGAAAAACACAGAAGTTCTAGAAATTCAATGATCAAAGGCCATTTATTTAATATATGATTTAAAAATTTTAGTTAAGAACTGTTAATATCATCATTAGCAGCAGGGATAGGCTTAAAAGAAGCACATGAAAAGAATATTACATGATTGGGCACCTTTGTGAGATCAGGTTAATGAATCCCAAATGATGGTATAACTATTACTGATGTTTAGAATTTTAACTTTTAATAAAATGCTTGAGAGTAAAATCACCTGGGCTGTCTATTACATGTTAGTACCCATGACCTTTGGATCATCAGAAACAAATAGATAAACAAGGAAAGCATCTCCTGAATTTCACTATTAGGGTATAGAAATCAAAACAGCATGAGACAATTCATACTTAAATTGGAAGTTTTCTTGGTGTGACTCCATGATTTATGAATTAGGATGAGTTGTGGAAGACAAAGAAAAGGCGTCTTAAAATATGTGTCTGGGATGGTTTCAAAGAATTGCATAAATGCCTGCTTGGGAAACACTTTGGAGTATTGTGGCCTGTATGTAGAAAGGTGTCTTACATATTCACAAAGCTTGAAAAGTCAATAATAACAGCTTTTCCTGTTTAGGTGAGGCTGGTAATTTCTATTCACTAAAATAGTATGTAATCATAGACTAAAATATCAGAATGTATAGAAATAGCATTACAACCAACAATCTCTTTTTAAGGTTTATTTTTTTCTGATTCTATTAAAGTAATACTCAAGTTTTATTTCTTTTTATTATTTTTCATTTTTAGAAGGAAGAGGAGGAAATATTTTTATTTTTAGAGTGAGGGAAAGGGTGGGAGAAAGAGAAGGAGAGAAACAGCAATGTGAGGGAAAAAATCCCACAACCGAGGCATGTGCCCTGACCAGGAATCAAACTGGCAACCTTTCACTTTTCAGGACAATGCCCAACCAACTGAGCCATGGTGGTCAGGGCCAATACTCAAGTTTTAAAGGGCAAGGCATTGGTGGACATTTGCTATTATTTTGGCCACTCAGTGTGTGAAACACCTTCCTATTTTAGAATTCTCTACTTTTGTAGCTAGGTGGTAGGGGATGAAAATCTCAGATGCTTGCTCTCCCATGCTGCTGCTGCTGCTTCTTTCTCTGACCCTTCTTCTCTTTCCTCTTCTTTCTTCCCCTCCTTCTTCTTCATTTTTCATGTCCAAAGGTGATTGGCAGCAATGGCTAAGTTAGTCCTGCAGCTAATTTACCTCCAGGTTTGTTTAGCACTTCAGAAATCTCTCTTCTCTTGACATACAGATTTCCCATGCTTTTCTGTAGTTAATATGCAGACATGTCTGGGAATCACCATCTAGATCCACTTGCATCAGATTTTGACTTAGGAGCCAGTTATAAACAATGAAAGAAGCAGCAACATCCCTAAAGTAATAGTAATAACAACAAAAACAACAACAACTAAATCTAGAAATGATGAAGCTCTTTCTCTTTGGAAGAGTCAACTATAATGATTGTTGGAAAAAAACACTAAAAACTATCAATAGTGCAGGGGAAGGGAGATGCACAGTTGTAAGATCTGATTCCCTGAGAACCACTTAATATTTTAAATAAACTTATCTGACTAAAAAAACTAGTAACTGGCACCACCCCAATAAATTCAATACAAAGGAAAAAAGGCAGTGATAAAGTACCCTATGAAGGTAGGATAAAACTGAGTTGAGAGAAGATGATTCAGGTTTATGAAAAATGATTAAATTTTACTAATTAAAACATGAGACATATGTTCTGAATAAAACAGTGGCAAAAGTAACATCAGCAAGTTAAATGTGAATTATACACACGCACATTCTATTCTGGTTCCTTTGTTTAAGTCCCTCTCAGATAATTGTTTTCCAATCCCCCCTCCAAAAAACCCCTGATTTTCCACTTAAAAAAGGTAGTAACTGTTCATTATGCAAATTTAGAGAATACAGAAAAGGTCAATGTGTGTGTACTTCCACACATATATGCAAAAATTTATACAATTGGGATCAAACTATGTAGTTTTGTGCCTACCCTTTTAATGCTGTTTTCTATGCCATTCTTTGACAATACTTTTCTAAACAACTACATCATTTAATTGTTCTGCTATTGAGTATTTTGAGTCTTTATTATTTTGCTGTCATCAAGTTTCAAAGAATATTCTTGTGTATAAATTTTTGACTAGATCTTTGCTTATTGCTTCAGGATAAATTCCTAGATAGCATATTGCTAAATCAGTGAAATTTGAACCTTTTAAAGGCTCTTCACACAGTTGTAAAATCTCTCTCCAGAGGTGGCTGACCCACTTTTGAATCCCTAATGGGTTTTGACTATAAAGTATTGACATAAAACTTTTATAAAGCTGGAATGTCAAACACGAAAACACTTTACAAGAATAATGGATATGGTGTGTTATGAGAGTCAACTGCTTGCTGTACACAGAGATATAGTTTAGAGACATTCTCACATTTAATCTTCACAGTGACACTTTCCATTGGTCTTTTCGACCTTGGCAATAAAATGGGGAAAATGGCCACATAGCTTGCTTAAGGTTACATAACTCATAAAATGTGGACCTGGGAATCAAGCACTGGTTTTCCTGATTTCAAAGTTCATTTTCTTTTCCTTATATTATTGCAACTCAATTTAAATACTTCATACTTTTGTGTTCTGAAATGAATACTTGAGAGAAAAGAGGTATGGGTGAGTTGGTAGTAGAGAGAAAGAAGCAGTTAAAAAGCATATTGTCTTAGTTAAGAGTCTAGAAATCGACAAAGCATAGTGCTAGCAGGGCATTTTAACCAATGAGTATTTATTAAAAGCTAGGGTGCGCCAGGCACAATTCTTGTCCAGGAGGCTAACAGATACAAATGATGTAACCAATTCACTTATTAGCTTATCTGATTAAATAAAATACATTTCATAGAAATGATTATAAAATGCATTGCAGATAGAAACAGAATATCTTTTATATTACAGATCTTACAGTACCTAAATAATTATTAATAAAAACCAGGCAACCCATATGGTAAATAGAAGTTAGCAAACCACCAGTTATTTCTTTATTTTAGTCAGCAAAAGATAAAAAGCATGCTATCATCATGCTGAAATGGGTTTCAACATTCAATACAGATAACCTTTTTCAAAAGTAACATAGTCCACCTATCATCTTAAAATATGGTGTTTTTCATCCTGTGTCAAATCACATTATACCTTTGTGTTTAAAGGTTACTTTTGGTTTCAAAGTAAGTTTATTTAGTGCTTCAGTCCCATGCCTCTCAGATTCTTGATCTGGGGTGGGTGAGAATCAGTACAATTAAGTATTAGTTAGAGTAGCAAAACAAAACATAAATGGGATGGTTTATCTGCTTTGCCCAATATTTTCGCCAATATTCAATTCAGAAGATACACACGTGATTTAAATAAGAACATAACAGAAGGGAAAAAATGCTGGTGTTATTTCTTTGAAGCAAGTCTGTCCATTAGAGCTCTTTATTGCCTTTGGAGAGTTATGGCGAATTCTTTAAAGGACCACATCAGGTCTGTTGGCACACGATATATCCCTTAGTTTGAAGGCGGTGTGTAAGGGAAAGTGGGAAGGACTGAAAAGGCGTGTTGTGGAGTGTGTTTGCTGACACAGTCACCATGGCCACTGAACCGCAGTCATCCATGAGAATGTCCACCAGGTCCTTCTTGAGACCTCCCGAGATGGGTGTTTTCTTCAGGCAGCAGCACTGAAAACTTCCTCAAAGAGTGAAGGTCAACTTTTATTGCACAGGAACCAAAATTATTCTCCCCACCCCCGCTTCCTGAGCTGGAGACCTCCAAGTGCAAACAAGGCTGGGGATGCGGCGCTGCTCGCTCCTCTGGCCAGCAGGGAGCGCTCCACCAGGACACCTCCGGGAGCACCTTCTTCAAAGGGAAGCGTGAGGTATCATGTTGGCCCAAGCAATCCGGTTGGTCAGTCGCCATTCTCAAGCAACTTTTGTAAGTTGTTCTGTATCTTGAGATAATAACAGAAAAGCCCCTGTTACTAAATAGAATGGAGTATATTAAGGGCACATTTGCTACGGCCTATACAAAGCTTGAGATTTTTCAAAAAAGCTACACATGGGTTAAATTTGGATCAAGCAAACAAATGCTTTTTAATGGAACAGAAGTCTGTTGGACAATCCACTTTAAAACAAAAGAGAAGGCTGGAAAAGAAAGTGTGGCACAAAGATGAAAATGTCAGTGGAGACCAAGAGAAATCAGATGGAAGAAAAAGAACAGTAGCACTGGAGATACCAGGTGTGACACAATACATTCGGACACACAGGGAAACTGGTCTTCACCCAGCCCACTGGATGGTGTGAATCAGACAAACTCTGTGTAGGAATGTCTAACACTCCTATGAGATATCATACATTTCCCAGAAGAGTGTGAATTTCACAGGGACAGGGGCCACTCTATATCTATGGATCTCAAGACTACAGAACAGAGATGAACATTAAAAATTTGCTTAGTAAATGTTTGTTGAGTAAATGAACTTCATCCTCAACAACCAGTGCTGTGTGGGGGTAAGGAACCCTGAGGAACAAACGAAGGAGAATGTATTCCATTCCTCCAGAAGGGGAGTCTGAGGTGTCCTGCAGGCAGACACAGGGCGAGTGAAGAGGAAGGGACCTAATTTGTCTGTGCCAGGCACACCACGCATGTGCACTGTCACCACGCACCGCCACTGCCACATGGAGGCAGGTGTTACATGTGAAATGGGGGGTCAGAGGGCTCTGGGACAAGACCAGTTACATGGTTAGTTACACAGGCAGAGTGGGAATAAGAACAGAGGTCTGACTTTAGAATTTATGCTCTTTCTTCTGTACTTCTCGACCATAAATGCCACTTACAGTACTAAGAAAGTATTTCCTTCTTTACCCATAAAAGGCATTGCCTTCATCCTCCACATGTCTACTTTATGTCTCCCCTACCATTCCCACAGGACCAAAGATAAAAGCAGGACTGAGAAGGTAGGAAAAGAAATGAAACCACAGACTGATATCCAAAATATATCAAACATACCTACAAAGACAAAAAAAAACCCCCAAAAATAAAACAAAGGAGATAAACAGGCAATTTACAGAATAAAATCCACATGGCAAATGAATACATAAAAAGATGTTCACCAGCAGTAGAAATCAGGAAAATGCAAATAAAAACCACAATGAGCTCTGATCTCCCACTGTTAGACTAGTAGTAGGGAGCCAGAGGGGACAAAGATGGTGGCAGTGGGAAGAGAATTTGAGAAGACATTTGAAGATAGATCACGTAGGACTTCTCAATCGGTCAGTCATTGGTGGGAAGTGAAAATAAAGCAGGAGTCACAAACTATTCTTAGATTTCCCTGAAAGAGCCATGATGCCATGAACAGAAATCAGTAAGTTAAAGCAGGGCAGATCAAGAGGCTTGGATGCGAGGCATCGCTGAAGGAGAGTAGAAAGAAATTGCTGGTACAGAGTAAAATGAGCTGAGACAGGGCTCCCCCGTTCCTACCGCACGTAGCGGGTTTTGCCACCAGGCTGTGCTGCACCATAGCAACATTGCCTCTGGCTGGAGGGGCAGACCAGTCAAAAAGAACGTGGGTGTGGCCTGGTAACTTTCTTTGCTTCCATTCCTTTGAGCCACATGTGCAATTTATAACTTTGTAGAAAGTCAACATATGCATTTTGACCCCAAATCCACCTGTGAGGCTTCTGCCCTGGACAAAGGTTTCTGCTGGTATACAGGCCTCTTAGCTGAGCAGTGGGGCTCTCTCCAAGTTCCTGTTTTCCTGTCCCTCCCTACAGAATGTGGTGTCCTAGCCAGGCTCAGCAGGGGGAAGGGAAGAAATGCAGGAAAGGACAGCAGGATTCTGTGTGCTTCTGGTCAAAAGAAACTGGTGTATACCAGAGTGAGCAAATGGAAAATTAAAATCACCCCATTCACTTGGTCAGCATGGAAGCCAAACATTTCATTATTTTAAAAAAAGGGAAAAATTATCTTCAATTCCCAGTAACTAACATTTTAGGAAAACAAAGCAGAACAAAACAAAAACAAAACCAATTCTAGCTGCTACCCCATACCTTCTCTAGGCTGATTTTGGATTTAAAAGAGAAAAAGTTTTCAAGTCAGCACATAGATACAATGATTCAATAGGAATTACCTGGCATGCCCTGGTTTAAGAACAGAAGTTTGGAAACACCTTTGCTCTTAATACTTCAGGGGGTAAATGCTAGATAAAATTTAGTGTAGCAAAACAAACACATTGACTCATTTGCATTTCATGTTTCTTCACAAGTAGGCACAACTGCACTAGTATGGAAAGCTATTGGGCATTTGTGAGTTTGAACTGAACACTTCACTCTAGCCCTTTCCTTATGGATCAGGGTAAGAACAAAGTTTTAGATGGGGAGAGATAAACATGTTGAAAGGAGTAAAGAGAATTGACTCAGGTGTAACTTGGGGTACTTCCGGCGTGCCTCCCTCTTTCTCTGGTTCACTCTCCTACTGAGATCTAAGAATGCCACAAGCATAAGGACAAGTCTGCCCTGAAGTCGCCCTACAGGACAATACCTTTAGAGGTAACGGTATTCAGTAGCCCTCGACAGGGGCTGTGGTTGGATTCTGAGGGGCAGTAAAGCAGGGCGTTCCAAGCACAAATCTGAAGTCACATAGACCTGCTTCAAGTTCCAGGTCTGCCAGCTTTCCAGATGTGTCTCCTTGAGCAAGTTAATAGGAACTTGGATTCTTTCTCTGTCCCAGAGAGGAACAATAGCACCCAGCTCCCAGGTTACAACAGGCAATGAAGGCAGTAGTTTACGTATGACCACAGTTGGCCTGGGAGGAGATAGGGCGGCACTTTCTGGTTGGGGCACTCCCTACTGTGTCTCTCCCCTGAGGCTCTGTATCAGGGGTCACTTGCCACTGGGCCCTATGACACAGAAAAATATTTCTAACCAAGGAGGACAAGCCGAAGACAGACCAACAAGGAAAATGAGATGGAAACCTATTTCTTGGTGGAAATAACAAACAGTCTTTCACATTTATCACATAACCCCTGGTGGGATTTGGCCCTTTAGGCTGCCTGCTGCACCAGAAGCATTTTAACGTGTAACCACTGATCTGTGGCAAGTGACAGGCATGACCACCAGTGCCCCCAACACAGGCGAGAATCAGTCACCTTTTCTAATTTCAGGATGTTAGCGGTGAGCTGCCGGCAGAGGACCTCCACGTTTAATTGCACTTGTGACCCCAGACCGGAAGGTGCTGCCTGCCTGTAAGAACAAAGAGAAAAATGACTGTGGGCAGGAACAGCAAAGAAAGGGATGGAATAAACACATGTAAAATGTACTTGAACAGAAAACTAGGTTATAATAGAAGAGAGTGAGCATTTAACTTGTTAACATCAGAAGCGTCCTGTAGTAATCCACAGCTCCAGACTGGAGGTCGGGGGACTATTTAACAGCTCAACTGGAAGTAAATCCCTTAAGCTATTTTTGTTAAGTGGCCGCATTGCGCCTCGGCTTCCAAACGAAAATCATACAATTATTCTCAAGCATGTGGTTTCTTAAACCTTTTTTATTAGCCTCCAGTATCTTCTCTATCCCCACTACAGGGTAAGTTTGCCGGAATTATTGCTCTTCTCAGTTACATCCATACTTTGTTTTTGTGGGAGCAGGAAGGCTTTACAGGAGAAGTTTCAGAACATTTAGAAATGTCTTTCATAGAATTTCTGTTGCAGTGTGAGAACCACTGCTGTGGTTCTTTGAGTCTTGCCATACAGATGTGGGCTGCTCTTGTCTTACAGCCTATCAGATGCATTCACTATTCATCACTAGACTACAGGGCATGGGCTCTTTCTTACTCTGGGGCCCACTGGGGCGTGGTAACAGCTGAAACTAGGAAGTTCAGAGATATACACATATTTTTCCTGAAGACGTGGTCTAAAGGTGTTTATCAGATGCCCGTGGTCTGTAGCTTCTCTCTAGTTCTTGGTTGTAATTTATTTGTCACCATTAAATTTTTAGATGGTAACGATTGGTCTAACATATTTTACATGTGATCCATTTGTGAGATGTAGGCATTTGGTATATTATTGAAGATTACCTAAATATTAAGAAAGCAATCAGATTTTTAAAAAATTTTCTAGTATTAAAACAATTCTTAATCATTGACCCATGCTATCAAAATCTTAGATCCCCAAAAAGAACCTGAATCTAAATCTTTCAGTTTCTGGGTGAGGGATCTGAGACCCAGAGTACTGACTATCAACATAAAATTCTGACAATCTATAGGCTGTACCTGTAGTAACAAAGCTGGTGCCAGGTATGGAGTCAAATCAGATCAGGCATGCGGATTCAGTGACCTGGACACGGTGGCCAGGTGAACTGTCCTGGGCAGAGCAAGTACTGGGGAGGCTCTGTGTAAGTACTTTATTAACAGAACTTTCTGTCATAGGTGGTTCCCTGATCTCACATCATGTATGATCTTTGTGACTGTTCTTAAATGATTATTTTTTGGATTGTACTTCTTCTTGAGTTGATTATTTAAATAGTAGAATAAATATTTCATCTGCCTTTGTTCGTGGAATTTCCCACTCATCACCACCAAGTTAGCGGAATGGTAACAGCACATGGTGTACATTTTCCTAAAATAAACCCTTATATGATAGTGAACAGAACAGTCTGCAATAATCTAGAGTCACTGCCAATTCTAAGTGTATTAACATTTTGAATGAGATGGGAGAGAAGTATGGGCAGGGTGTGAATCTATTTCAAACCATTCTTCAGGCTTCTGCACTACTGGGTCAAGTATATATTTATGGTTCAAAAATAACCTGTAGACAGAATACTATTAACCCACAGAATAAGACTTTTAGGTGATGGTGGGAACACAAAGAAAGGCCCTGGACTGATACAGCATAATAGTTCTCCAAGAGTAGACCTCAGGCTGGCACCGTCAACATGGCTGGGAACTTGACAGAAATACAAATCCTCAGGCTCAAGCTCAGATCCACTGCATCAGAAACCTTGGGGATGGGTCCTATAATTTGTTTGAACAAGTGCCCTGAATGATTCTGAAGCACACTGAGGAGAGCCTGATCCAGTTCTAGGCTGTTTTGCACAACCAAGTAGCCCTAGGTACCTGAAAAAACTACCGTCTTTGTAGTCATACAGGCCTACATTTGAATCCTGATTCTATTTCAGGCTATGACATTCAGCAAATTCTTTCTCTGAGTCTTGGTTACCTCATCTGTAACATGGGGATAATAGTTACCTTATAGGGTATAGTGAGAGAAAATTGTATTTGTGCATGCCTGGATTGATTCTACTAGAGTCTCTAGCTCACGGTATGTACTCTGTAAAGGAATGTCTCTACTTTTAAATCTCATGCTAAAAGTATGTTTTCTAACATGGAATAACTTATTTTACTTTTTAGGCAGTGTGTCAAGATCCCCATAGAAGTGGGTTTAAAGGAAAGGACTCATAGGTGTCTGCATAAGTTTCATTAGTTCAGGCATGTAAACATGACCTGACAGAGCATTTTCACAGTCAGGGGTTTTGTAAGCGAATGGCCTAATACAAAGAGTTCTAGGTGAAGAAACGTATTGAGTAACTTGAATTACTTCCTTCCCGTGAAAGTCTTGACTCCTTGCCATTTTATGTAAACTTTTGTATTTCAATAAATGGGCCAAGGTCACAGCTGAGTCTTAGGATAATAGAACAAGATAATGTAAAATCAGGCTTGTTTCTCGCCTTGTCACTGGCAACACTATAGCCACTCAAGAACATGCACAATCAGGTCATTCATGTCTAGGACCTTCCTACCTCTTCCTACATATACACTTAAAATGTCTCATACAAAATGTATCCTTAATTAATATTTGCTACGAAGGTTGCTAAGCTCAGGCCAAACATCATACAAATCTGAATAGCAAGCAGCTGATAGCATGGGAGGGAAATGTCTTACTCAGTGTGATGGCTGTCTACAATGGAGGTGAGCAACCCCAGCCGCTCCTCCAGGGTATTAATTCTATATCTCATGTAGAAGGTCGAGATGATGAGCGCACAGACCCTGAAAAAGGATAAAAGAGAAATCTCAGTGGTTAATGGCCAGGCCCAAATGTTCATAAAATAATGCATTCAGAGCCAATGTACATTTGAGGCAAGGTATTTTCTAAAACAACTTGGCTGAAGAGACTTTAAAAAGATCTTTACTGGACAGGCTGATGCTTGTCACAAAACTTTAGAGCGAGAAGGGGCTTTTAAATCCTTTAGCTCAAGTTTCTCAATTTACAAGAAACTCTAATAGGCCACACCCAAGGAGGATCACCAAGCCAGTGAGCGCACTTCCTGCCACTCGGTGAGTCTCCCTCAGTGGAAGGGCCTGATGGCGAGTGCCCAGTCTTGTTCCCCGTGACTCACAGATTCCTCTCTTTATCTGGAAACCAAACTGGGCAAGTCCTCCTTGGTGGTAAGGAACAGCCTAGAACTGGGTCAGGCTATTTTCAGAACAACAACTGATTACAGACTAGAAGCCGAGGGGGAAGTTAAAAAAGTCAATGCCAAAGGTTTAGATAAAGGGAATGACATTTTGAAGTTGTTTTGGCCTCTATCCAGAGAACATGGGTTGGATGGAAAATAAACAATAAGGACAAAGATGCTTCATTTTAATTTCCCAACTAATAGTATTCACCCAAAACTTAGTCCTCTGCTGGATCTGGCACAATTGTTTTGCTTTTTGGGAAAATGTGGAAATAGGAAACAAAAATTGTTGCAGAAAAGATTTGGGTCACATTAGACAAAACTGAGATTTACAATGGCTCTTGGCAACATGAAAAGATTATCCCTTTAAAGAACTGAATCATTTTCTTAAGTCACTTTTAGTAAATTAATTTACTTACACGATTGCGTAGAATATAAGAATATGGCGGAGAGTTGGGTATTTCTGAGACTTTACGTTGTGTGAGACTCCAGTGGTTTCTGACTGACCTGTTGGGTAGAAATTGAGAAATTACAGTTTTAAAACACATTCATCCAGCACTATTGCTATGGAAAAGATGTCCTTGAAAGAGAAAATTAGACCCTGGCCAGGTAGCTCAGTTGGTTAGAGCTTCGCCCCGATATGCCAAGGTTGCAGGTTTGATCCCCAGTCAGGGCACATACAAGAAGCAACCAATAAATGCATAAATAAGTGGAACAACAAATCAGTGTTTCTCTCTGTTTCTCTTTCTCCCTGTCCCTCCATCTCTCTCTCCCTCTCCCTTTCAAATTGGTAAATAAAATTAAAAAATAAAATAGAATGCATTAAAACAGAAAGAGATTAAGTACTCCTAAGTAAGAGAAGTCATAGAAAATACTAACTGAAGCCTTCCGGCTGTTGTTTTAACCAGTAGTTACAATTCTTTCCAAATATTTCACTCATTCCATGTTTACTGAGAGCCTTCTCTGTGTCAAGCATTGTGTTGGAGTGAATGGTGAACCCTATGGATATCATCCTTGTTCTCATACCAGTACAACTGGTAACCAGGTATTAGAATAATTAGTCAACAAGAAATAATTCAACACTTTTAACAGCATTTTTTGAATCATGGTCTCAAAGTATTCATTGCAATGGAGGAGTCTCCATGAAGGCTGTTCACCTTTGTATCCCTCATAGTGAAGCAGGGGACTTGGTGATGTTTACTGAATGAATGGGGGACTTAACACGCAAAGATCTACAACAGGAAGGGAGGGGAGGGAATATGAAAGGCAGACATAAAATGAAATCCCTTTAAAGTTACAAACAAAAAAAAAAAGAAGAAAATAAAGGAAAAAAGGGTACAAGCAGATGGCCCTCTCCCCACACCCCCACCCCAACCCGCTCTTTACCGTGTGCAGGGAGGCTCTTGGCTTTTCCTTCAGGCACTCTGTTCCCATGGGGATCTGCCCTAGGTGGTTTTGCTTCTGCCTTGGAGACATTCAGAACTGTCTGGGATTCTGTCACATGGAAATCTGTCAGGCCAGAATGGGGCTGGGTAAGTTTTCTCTTCAAAACATTCAAACTGTAGTCTCAACCACAAAAGCAAATCAAGCTCTTAACATGCATAATGGCCAAGTATATAAATGGACCCTCTCATAAGTTGGTTGAGTGGTTGGGGACTGAAATCCAATGATCAAACAAATAAGTAATAAAATGATATAAGGAAATGCGGCCTTACCCCACTGACTCATGCAGACAATTCAGCTATGACAATTAATAGTATTATTAAAAGAGGGAAGAAAACATCATATGTTTCTCTCTTTCAATCAACCTAATATTATGTCAACTTAAGAGACATTTATTAAATATGTATAGATGGAAATGAATTTTTTACCACATAAGCAGTTCTGTTTTCTGGAACTTTCAAACTACCCTTTCCCCAGATTCTCTTTCCAGTTGTTAACTAGGAAGACTAGGGTTTCTTATTGTTGGTTTTGTTTTTTGTTTTTTAAGGGGTGGGGCAAAGATGTTTGTGGAGAATTAAATTTCAGCCAAGGTACAAAAATGCCCCAGACCTCTGGAGTTCTCGGATTCGGGAGTCTGAGAGCCAGAACTGCTGTATCCTTCCATGTCTTGCCTTCTTTGTTGAACCACTCCATCCAGATCTGAGAATTCATCGTTGAAATCCTGAAGGGAAATAATGAAATGAAGAGAGGCCAGTTTCTTCTGCTCTACCTTTTTTTTAAAAAATAGATTTTATTTATTTATTTTTTATAGAGAGGGTTTAGGGAAGGAGAAAGAGAGGGAGAGAAACATCAACTGGTTGCCCCTCACATGCCCCTTACTGGGGACCTGGCCCGCAACCCAGGCATGTGCCCTGACTGGGAATCTAACCAGCAACCTTTTGGTTCATAGGCTGGCACCCAGTCCTCTGAGCCACACCAGCCAGGGCCAATTTCTCCTCATTAAAAAGGCAGGCCTTTGTAACCCCCCAGTCTTTTTACTTAGGCCTGACCTATAAAATATGGAAAAGAAGGAAGAATTACTCCACATTACTGGATTTTCCCAACAGATCACTGAGTAAGTACCTGGTTACTAAACAGATTCTTCTGGGTAGTTAGAATTCTATCAACAGTGGCAAACTTCTTTGAAATAACAAATGTCTAGAAAAAAAACAAAACAAAACTGGAATGCCAATGATTGAAAAGCTTACAGGGTAAAGCTGCAGAAGCCTCAATTAGTACTGTGTAATGAAAAAAAGTGACTGAAATAGATGTATATAAAACAAAGAAGTAGACAGAAAGATCTAAATGTATGTTTGAATAGGTAGACACAGAGAAAGGTACTATAAAACTATAATTCTTCGATTATAGTTTTTAAAAAAGGTATTGGAAACAGACTAGGGAAAATGGCTTTAATACATTAGACCCTGAAAGGAAAATTTCAGCTTCCTTTTTCTTCTCTTAACTAAATCAAAACAGCATGAGTGATATTACACTGAAATTACAGATGGATGATAGAGGAAGGCGGAGCGGGGAAAGCAGCAGGAAAGTTTTCCTCCATACCCACTCATGCCCCCAGAATGCTTCAGAACTAAAGAGACGAGAACTGCCATTAAAACATCCTGGTGCAGGCACAGTGAGGCTGTGCTCTCCACAACTTAGCTGTCAAGTGAAGAAGAGACTCATCTTGTAAGCAAATTACCAACCTTGCACCTTCAACTAGCTGTCTTTTGGCCATTTCAACACTCATTTCAATTTCATGCAAGATTTTCATAGGGTAAAAAAATGGGAAAAATTCAAGTCTCTTCAATTGAATGATTATTTATTGAACGCCTGTCACGAATCAGGCAGTATGCAAAGCTCCGTACAGGACCGTACAGGACCGCACTGCATCCTCACAGCCTCACTGCAGAGAAGCCGAGTGCGGGCAGTTAAGGGGCTGGTCCGATGGCGGAGCTCACTGGGCGGAATGCAGGTCCGAAACCAGGCTTGTCGGATCCCCAATTGCATGTGTTAATTCTATTTTGTACTGCTTTTCACTATTTTTAAAAGGTTTTACAAAAAGGTTTTTAAAATATTTTTTTTTAATTAAGATAAAATTCACCATTTTAAGCATATGACGCGGTTGTTTTTAGAACACTCACCATCTTGTGCAACCGTCAGCACTCTCTTATTTCAGAGCATTGCTATTAACCCCCCAGAAGAAACCTTTTCCCATCAGCAGCCACTCCCAATTTTTCCCTCTCCCACATGCCTTGGCAACTACTAATCTGCTTTCTGTCTGTATGGATTTGCCTATTTGGAATATTTTTGTATAAACAGAATCATACGATATTGTGGCCTTTTGTGCCTGGCTTTTTTTACTTAGCATAATGTTTTCAAGGTTCATCCATATTGTAGTGTACAACAGTAGTTCTTCATTCCTTCCTAGGAAAATAATATTCCATTGTATGGATAGATTACGTTTGTTTAATCATTCATCAATTGATGGACATTAGGGTTTTTCTACTATTATGAATTGAAGTTTTTGTGTGAATGCATTTTTAATCCCACTAGTTTTTAGCACCTTTCAATGAAAAGATTTGTAACCCTGGCTGGTGTGGCTCAGTGTACTGAGCGCTGGCCTGCAAACCGAAAGGCTGCTGGTTTGATTTCCTGACACAGCACATGCCTGGGGTGCGGGCCGGGTCCCTAGCTGGGTACGTGTCATGTTTCTCGCCTTCTCTTTCTCCCTCCCTTCCCCCTCTGAAAATAAGTAAATAAAATTTAAAAAATAATAATATCAAGATTTGTAGATGTTGAAACCATAGGCTCATACCACTTCACCAAAGGTATTTCAACATTTAACAATAATGAACTTGGGAATAATCATTTGAATCATGTGGCTAGGACTCTTTGGAACAACTTATACCATCATAGGTACACATCTTGTACAGAGACGTGGGGGAATTACTTCTTACTGGAGATTTATTCTACAGTCAATGACATCTAAAGGAATCAAAGAACCTCTACCTTTCACTAGGGCATTAGAGTTCCCTCCCTCCCTCCCTTCCTTCCAATTATTTCTAGGTATTCCTCATCTTCTCCACTAAGCTGTCAAGTCTTTGAAGGCATGAACTAGTCTAGATTTTTCCTGGGGTCCTTTCAGCATACTCTAGCACAGAGCCTTGAACACAGGAGACATTTAACCATCTGTGGGATGAATCATTCCTTACCCCAAACAGATTGGTGAATCCCTCTAAAACAACACTGACAAGCAAACATGGCAAAACTTTATGAACACCTCCAATGTCCTGTAATCCCCAGGATGGTCCACTACTGTGTTTCTTTTCCTCTGCAGGACAACCCTTCATGTAGTTACTTGAAAAAAAGGTTTATGACCTCCTATGGTCCTCCCCTTCTTCAGGACAGAAATGCCCTGTTTTTTCAACTTGCTTCAAATCCTATGGCCCTAAGTTCCTCCTGCGCCCTGGTCATGGTGCAGGAGTTGTGACTGGGGGATCTATTCTCTTAGTTTTGCATTTACATAGTTATGCAGGCAACTCACCAGAGGCAGAGATGAAGGGAGCTCCGCCCGGAAACTGTTTTCAAGAGAAGATGGACTGGGACTGTTACCAACACTTGTACTCTGAAATCATTGAAACAAAAGAAAACACCAGCTTCAGTCTGAAACTGGAAGAAACACAAAAGACAGACAGCAGCATAGGCTCGGCAATGTACTCACATCCAAATGTCCACACACAGATTTTATTAGTTTGTAAGTTGAATCTCTGGAGAGCAAGGACACAAATATGTACTGAAAAACAAAACAGAATAATTAATGATAGATACTGTCTGACAAGAAGTCAGTATTCAGAGTTCCAAAATTTGTTTGTATATATTTTTTCATTTTAAATGATATAGACCATTCTCTGGTTTATATTCTCATTCTGCTCACCCACACATTCAGTTTTTATTCCATTCCTGGAATAAAAGAAATATATTCTGTAACAATAGCTACAACATCCTCAAACCCAATATAAGTAATAAACAAATGCAGCGAAAAAGGAAGGCTCTGATTCCTGATAAAGGTGCCACAAATAAGCACAAGAAATGAACTGGGCATTTAAAAAATGCTAGTGATATTTACTAGATCCTCTTTGAAGTCTCCCTACTTCCTTTTTTAAAAAGGTCTTTAGCAATTCCTGAGGGTTTTTCTTTCTCTGCTCTGACCTAGATTTCCATTGAAAATTTCCCAGGATCTCTAATAGGCTCGTTCTTTTTAAAGCCACTTTCAGATTCTTCCTTGTACAAATATAGAAATTTTTGTAGTGGATGCTTACAAGTAAGTTATGGGAAAGGAGTAAAATCAGAGTGAGACAAGTAATTTGGAGACCAATGACGTTAGGACAAATGATTTTACCATAAACAGAATGTCGAGAAAATAGTAAAACTCATTCTTTCTCCATCTAATTGAGCTATAGCATCTTTCCAAACTCACTTTCCAAAGTTTGTAATTACCCCCCCTCCCATTCACCCATAAAAGTACAATACAATACAACACAATACAATACAATACAAGTGTTATATTCCAAGGTAGTTGACATTATGGGTTCTGGCATTAGCCAAACCCAGTTGCAAATTTTGGCTGTGACACTAAGTAGGCAACACTGGGCAGATTGTTCACTTAATCCCTCTTAGCTTGTTTTCTTAACAGTGCCTACCCCTTAGAGGGTGGTAGTATGGAATAAATGAAAACATAAGGGGAGTATTTAGCATATAACCTGATGCCTGTTAGCCATTAATATATCTAAACATTTTGAAAAACTCGATGTTAACATATTACCTAGCTCATCAGAATAGCCTCTTCTATCTTTCTCCCTCTTCAACTATCCAGTATTGATAGAGATGGAATGAGGCTTTTATGCTTTCATAGACAGAATAGGTAAAATATTAAAAAGTAATTTCAAGTGAAATATGTATAACCAAAATATTCCACCCCCCCTCTCTTCCCACACTGAAATAAACATCTCTCAGGGCAACTATTCCTGGCCACCCAGCCTGTGGCAGCCCAGCAGTCAGCAACAGCCTGGGAATTTCTGTATGGACGAGGGATAGTTAACGTAATCTGGAAGCAAAGAGGAGCAGGAATGGGTCCAAAGCTGCACACGCATAGCAAGCACGAGTTTTATGTACTTGGGATGTCTTTGGAGAGGTGCCAGCTGAGGTTATGGGGTGGCTGGCCAGCCCCACCCCAGGGACTCTGGCAGGGTCACCCTGCCTCACCCTGTCAGCAAGGTGGTGATAGTGGTTATTTTAAATAATATTAAAGAAACTGAACATCAGGTTAGTCTGACCTAACAGATGTTAGAAAAAGGGAAGCTGGGAAAGAACTTTATTTTTTTTTTGACCTTGGTCAAGCAATTTAAGTATAATTAAGTCAGCAGGACATTACAAATTGGCAACAATTATGTTAGAATAGATCATCTGGTGAGGGGAAATAACACCAAACGAATGTCTAAAGGCCAGGATTTTAAAGATCAGCCTTACAGCATATATGCTGATTCCCTGTGGGGGATGACGGTATTCACGGTTCAGGGTCTTGGTCCTGGCAAGGCCCCTCAGGCAGTGGAAGGTCAGAGCAGGACGGAGCAACTCTGGCTCTGTCGTGTACTCACCCTGTCTGTGACCGTCGCTATAATCAAGGCATTTGGCACCAGAAGGGCAGTTTTGGTTTTCTTTATTAGGGTTACGGAGAAAGCCGGAATAGAGATCTGAAATGCAAGCACTGAGTTATAACACACTGCTTAAAGACTTCACAGAACAACACTTCAAATCTTCACGTTTCAGGAAAAACAAAACAAAATGAAATGAAAACAATAACAAAGAAGTCAAAATCAGCAGCAGGTTCTCCAGGATCCATAGGAAAAGTCCATCTTAAAGAGGGGCAGGGGTGCATCACCCAGCTCCTCCAACTGGTGTCAATGCCAGGGGACAAATCTGGATGCTTAGTTCTACTGCAGGGCTTCCTGGGAAACCTTTATCTCATTCACATTCATTCTAAAGATAAGCCCAAGGCTCTAAAGAAGTTAAGTGCTGGTGGTCATCCCCTTTGGGCTAATCTCCCATACCCCACTCTCCGTCCTTAGGCACATGTAGGTAGAAAAAACGTTGAAAAGCACTGGTGTAACAGAACCATGACTGAACAGACAGTCTGGGACTTGAATTCTCAGCTCAGTTCTGTTATTATCTATATGACCTCCCAACCTCATGAGTCATCCTTTCTGGGTCTCAGTTTCCTGATTTGGAAAATGCGGACAGTCTTTTCTCCTTCTCAGCATTTTCTTTGGATTATATGAGGAAATATACGGAAAATGCCTAGTATCCAAAGAAAGTGTCGTTCATTTCCTCATTTGCCTCATGGAAAGAGGATGGGCGAAATAAAAGAACTCTAGGTTCTTTTCCGGCTCAAACAATAAAGGATGACAATTTACCAGACGAGGATGTCATTTAGTTATGACATTCCGGTAAAGCAGATATTCCAAGAGATAAGAGATGTTTACAGTGGCGTATGACTTGCTCAAGGTCATAAATACGGTAAGTTACAAAGACAGAATCTGAACAAATCAGGTGCCATATGTAGTTCTTTTTCCTACAGTGCGTTATCAGATACCACAAAGACTAGTCAATGTTCCTGATACTTTTATGTTACATGACTTCAATCAGGTTAGGTTTAAAAAAATGGTCACATCACTCTGATCCCTGACAACAGAGTCACACACACCCATGGTAAATAGAAATGACCTGAATCTCTCTACAGGTACATCCACTCACTTGAATATGTATTTTGTAAAAATGCTTTTTATGTTCTGAAAGAAATGAGCAAGGTCAGTGGGGAAGAGGAGGGCCTTATGTGAGTACTGCCAGCTTAAAGGAAGAAAAAAACGCTTTTCCTGTTGAACATCTGCATTCACACTTAGGTTTATGAGCCAGAACTGTGCTGCTGCCCCTCCAGTTACGCGGTAACTCCGGAAAGAAGAAATTAAGCTCTGTTCACACAGGTGATGATACAAAAATGAGTCTAACTCTGTTTCTGAACAGCAACACACACACAGTGTTGCGAGGCTAAAAGCTTGGGTTTCCCCCCCACAATCTAAGGCAGGGGACACCTTTAAGAAAGAGCTTTCAGTCAACTGCTTCATGAGGATAAAATGACATTCAGATAACATCTGAGAAATAAACTAGAAATAACATTTGAGTTGGAGCCTAGATGGAATGTGATACACATGTTTGATTTTACTAGCATCTGAAAATACCAGTGGGCTAAAAGGTCCTAATTAAATTAAGACTATGCTTGACTAATGTTTTTCCTGGGCAGGGTGCTTAGAAAACTTCCCTTCCTAGAGCAAATGTCTGGCTGCCTTTAGTTCATACTGGATCGTGTGTTGAACTGGGGTCTACGGGCCGTGAGGAAATTCTGCCACAGAGCTGAACCCCCATCTCCTTGACATCATCCTTCCAGGGGAGGAAATGAGGTAGGGACCTCATGGTCTAGGTCCCTACCCCTACCAATTTTCAATCTCTTTTCTCCTAGAACACATGCAAAAGCAATCACAGTGTGCCAAATCTTTAAAAAATCAGGGTCACTCCTTTTACCTTTGTTGGGGGTCAGTTCTCTCTTAGGTAGAAGTAGGATTTTGAAACCACTGGCAGATTCATATTAGCTTGAAACTGCACATACTGGCTTTGTGAATCTCCCTATTCCTAAATAAGGCTAATGCTTTGCTCACTAATGTCTTCATACCTGCTGCTTCAGTCAAAGGTGCTGGGTCTCTCCGAATTCCTGAGAATTATCTTTACCACATTGAACTGGAGCTCAGTACTTCCCAATCTCCTCCCCCACTTCAGGAACAAGTTCTTAGAAGCCAGAAATCTAGAAATATGGTGGACTATTGCTTATTACCTTGTCTTATACTGATTCAGCTAGCACTGTGCATCAAAATCTTCATCTAAACAACTCTACATAGTAAAGGAGCAATATAAACATAACACGCTTGACCTAAAACGAGGGTGCCAGTCTGCTTACTCCACAGCAGCAAAATACTGACTCTCCCATTTTATTTGTTACGTGGTCTTTGTCTATGGGACTGCCAGTGGCTTTAGGGAGAGTACTTAAATAAAACATACCTCCCACTTAAAAAGAATTTTTATTCAGCTACTTCATGAATATAAAAGCTGCTTATTCATAATCATAAGTCACAATGCTTGAAAACTCACTGAGGTCACGCGAACCCAAGGAGGTGTCTCTCTGACTCCTTATTCTGGTGACCTGAATGTGACAGCACAGCTCAAAGGGAAAGAATGTCAGTGGGATGGAATTATCTTTCCCTTCTGATGCCACAGGCCCAAGGTCCTTGTTTCAGAAGGCGGTGCCTTGGGACAACTGCCAGTTCCCTCAGGCTACTCTCCTTAATGGCTCAGTGTGCCATGGGCCTCTGCTCTCCCCAGACCTGCATTTAATGAGAACGGAAAGGTGTCCATCTGCATTTCCTGGGGACTGTGGGTGTACACCTTGGTCAGACTGGGTCTTCAGTGCTCCAGTTCCTGCTCTTTTTGTGCTGGTGATGGCACAGAGAGTGAGCTCCAGTAAGCAGCTCATTTAGAGGCTGTTTTTCAAGACATGTGCAATAGTTAACTGGCATGAGTACAATATGATCTAAGTATTTCTTAAAAAAATTGTTTTAGGTTTAATGTACCTCCTTGAGACTGATTGTGGGACACGTTTCGTGTGAATAACTTTGAACATTCTCTGGAGACCCCTGGGAGGTGGGGAGGGTGTGGGGCGGGACTGTGCGGGGAGAGAGCGGTGTTGGCGGCCTGAGGCAGTTGGACCCGGCACTGTTTGGAACGACCGAAAAGGAAACTTTGTGTAAGGGTATGGTAACAACACAGATATTTACAAATATTGCTACACTTAAAACAATATTGCAAATATAGTAAAGTACAAAGGTTAGCTTTCTTTGTAAACAAATTATACAAACCTTAGTGTCTTTTCCAAAGACCTTGGAATGAAAACAGATCCAGTTTTCTGACACAAAGAGCTTCCCTTGGTATAGTATCTCTTTCTGTAGAGCACAGGTAAAACCTGAGAAAACATACACAGGGATAACAGCGTTTAGAATGCACAGGTAAAATGAGCATTCTGTGTATCTGCTGTGACTCCGGCATGGGCAAAGACAACACACTCACATATGCAAAAGATCTATCACCTCTTTTTCAACCATCTGTAGTGGAATAAAAGTACGGAGACGAGAATTTTTTTCATTCAAAGCCTTACACATTTTAGTATGAAATTAAACATGGAAAGGCAAGTCGATCATTACAAACGAGAGTTCAAGAATGGTCTTCCAAAACCTCCCTTATGCAGGAAGGCGTGGCACCCTGTGCTAATGTCAGCGCTCCTGCCCCTTCTCCCCTGGGGTTGTCGCTAATGACCCCCTTTGGAGTATTATAGATGGTCTGATTGCAGGAGGAGCGCCGGACCCACACCTCCCTGTTTGGAGATCACGGCTGGAGTCCAGCATCTGGCCCTGACGCGTATACTGGGAGAGGCTGGAATGGAACCCTGGTGAACCACGAGGAGAGCAGGTGCTTAATGGGCGTGCTGGGCCCGGCGTTCGGATGTGACCACCGAGCTCTGCACAACACTGGTACCAACACATGGCTCTCCACCCAACCTGTGTTTCTTTCCATCCTGAATCTCAGGACAATCCGAACACAATGTGTTTCAGCAGTAAGTACGCAATCATCTCGGATTGATTTCATACCATGTGGAGAGATTCAGTTTTCTATTCTTTCTTGTCTCTCAAGGTACTCGGGGAGCACTGCGTGCAGCTGGCATGGTTATTGCAGCCTGAGTTTCAGAAACCAACACCCCTTGGTGAATCTGTCCCCAGGCCACGCCCTCTTTCTCCCACAAAATCAATTAGCACCTCTTCAAATATGTAGCTTAAAAAGTCAAACAGGTCAGAACTCACTTTGCCTCAGTGGTTCCTCGGTTGGGACGTCAAGAAACAACTTGTGAAAGTGCATATTTGCCTTGTACTGTAGTGAGAACAAAACAGAGATGTCACGGCTCTTAATGTTTCTGCGAAACCTCACACATTTCAACTTCCATTTAAATCACACAACACATTTTCCCTCCCTTACTGTGTATCTTCAGGAATTCCATCTCTGATCTCACAGTCTCCAACACAAACAACCCTCCTGTGACAAACAGTGGGAGGCAGGGCACAAAGGCTTCCTTTTCCAGCGGCACTAGTGACCTGCTGGTTGGACTGACAGCTACAATCACGGTGCAGCTGGTGGCCAGCCTTCTGCCAACACACTAGAGAAAGATGCCCTGAATGAGAAATGAGAAGAACCTCTCAGGAAACTCACCAGGGGAGGCAAAGACCCCAGGGCGCTGTACCAGTGAGTACTCTGAGAAGGGGGCAGTGGTTAAAAACTTCGCAGTCATGTTAGCCCAAGTTTAAGTCTTGGCCTCTTCTTTGGCATGTGATTCTGGCCTTGTCACTCAACTGCTCTGAGCCTCAGTTTCCTCTTCTCTTTCCAAGGCAAAAACAGCACCTGCCTCCATGGGATGCCACAGACGTCCATGGGATAACACAGCTAAAGGACCTACTCCCTGCCATTGTCACTAACAGTGTTGTTGCTGTGGAGGCATTCCTGCATGCCAGGGGAGATGACTGTCAAGACAAGGAGGATTTCTCTCAATGAGGGTGGAAGGCCCAAGAGGCTGAAATGCTGGAAAGCACTTATTTTCAGGGCAGCCACTCCCACAACTGTGACAATGTACAGACTGCACTTTCCGCTTTGCTAGGTGTTTTCACAAACCACTGCACAATAACCTGGAGGCTGACATCCCCATTGGGTGGGTCAGGACATTGAGCCTCAGAGATACTGAGTAACTGGAGCTACAGTTACTCAGAGGTGGAGCTCCTCCTTCCATAGGACCTCCTCCTTCCATAGGACCACTCTGCCTACAGGTGCTTTTGGTGAAAAAGTCTCGTGAGGAAAATAGAGAGATACTACATTTAGGTCCTTGATGTTTCACTGTTCAAACTAGGTGTGGTCTCAATGGCAAAATCGGCCTTAGTATCTCTGTAAAGAAGAGCTCCACAAAATTGTAGGCACAAAATAGCCAGGGGGTGGTTAAGAACAGTGTAGGAAATGGAAAAGCCAAAGAACTTGTATGTACAACCCATGGACGTCAACTAAACAGGGGGGAATACTGGAGGGAGTGGGAGTGCAGGGCAGTGGGGAATAAGGGGAAGAAAAAAAATGGGACAACTGTAATAGCACAATCAATAAAATATACTTAAAAAAAGAGAAGAGCTTCAGGCAGGTCATGCTGATGACAGATTGACCCCCAGGAGTTAGCTGTCTTATAGATAAACACCTCATATAAAGTAGGTTACTTTATGCTGCTTCCTGGGAATACATTTTGCATCCAAGGAGTCACCTTGATTAAAGGCAGGTGTTCTATGGGGGTTTTACCAACATTCTGTTTTTAGTGGCTACAGTGAACACTGGTTGCACATTTGATTTAAAAATATCCTGGGCCATGGACTCTTCAAAGATGTCATTGTAATAAGAGGCTAACAAAAAATGAAAAGGTAATGGGGCCCTGGCTCAGTGACTCAGTGGGCTGGAGCATCATCTTGTGAACCAAAAGGTCACAGGTTCGATTTCTGGTCAGGGTGTGTACGGGAGGCAACCAATCAGTGTTTCTTTCTCACATCAATGTTTTTCTCTCTCTCTCTCCTCTCTCTGTCTCCCCCTACTCTACAGCCCCTCCACCCCTCCCTCCTTTCTTCTCTCCTTCCCTCTCTAAAATGAATAAACATATCCTCAAGTGAGGATTTTTTTTTTAAAAGGTACTAGATTGATTGAAATAAAAAGCAATGTGATAAATGTAGTACCTGGCTCCTGATCAGATTTTAGAGAGGGAAAAACAAAAAATCCTTATAAAGGATATTCACTGCTGGGATAATTGTGGAAATTTGAAAATGGATTTTATATTAATATATTTTTTTATATTTACTATTTAGTTAAATTTCTTGGGTGTGTCAACAGTGCATTGTAATAGTTTTTTTTAACAGATCAGTTATTTAATTAGGTTTTTGGAAAGAAATTCAGAACTTATACTATTCTTAACATCCCCCTATTTCATGCCTATCAATTGTGCTTCTTATTCCCTGTACCTTTTCCTCCATTCTCCCACTCCCCCTCCCCACTGATAATCCTCCATGTGATGTCCATTTCTGTGATTCTCTTCCTGTTCTAGTTGTTGCTAAGTTGTAGTTTTTGTTTTTTAGATTCAGTTGTTGATAGTTGTTTGTTGTCATTTTACTGTTCATAGTTTTGATCACCTTTTTTCTTAAGTAAATCCCTTTAAATAAGGGCTTGATGATAATGAACTCCTTTAGCTTTACTATCCACCCTTCAGTTCTAAATGAGTTTTGTTGGATAGAGTAATCTTGGTTGTAGGTCCTTGCTTTTCATGACTTTGAATACTTCTTGCCTGCAAAGTTTCTTTTGAGAAGTCAGCTGACAGTCTTGTGGGAACTCCCTTATTGGTAACTATCTGTTTTTCTCTTGCTGCTTTTAAGATTCTCTCTTTATCTTTAACCTTTGGCATTTTAGTTATGATGTATCTTGGTGTGTCCCTGTTTGGGTACAACTTGTGTGCGACTCTGTGCTTCCTGGACTTGTATGTCTATTTCCTTTACCAAATTAGGGAAGTTTCCCTTCATTGTTTTTTCAAATAAGTTTTCAATTTCTTGCTCTTCCTGTTCTCCTTCTGGAACCCCAATGATTCGTATGTTGGCACTTTTGGAGATATTCCAGAGTCTTCTTGTTCTCCCCTCATTTTTTTTTGAATTCCCATTTCTTCATTCTCTACTGGTTGACTGTTTATTTCTTTCTTATGTTCCAAACTGTTGATTTGAACCCCAGCTTCCTTCCCTTCACTGTTGGTTCCCTGTGGATTTTTCTTTATTTCACTTAGTGCAGCCTTCATTTCTTCCCTTATGCATCTGCTGTACTTACTGAGTTCTCTGAGTATCCTGATCACCAGTGTTTTGAACTCTGCATCTGACAGGTTAGCTATCTCCATTTCACTTAGTTCTTATTCTGGAGTTTTGAACTGTTGTTTCAATTGGGCCATGTTTCTTTTGTCTCGTCATTTTGGTAGCCTCCCTGTGCTTGTTTCTGTGTATTACGTAGAGCTACTTTGACTCCATGTCTTGGAGCACCTGTTATGTTGTAAGGGGCAGAGCCTTAGGTCTTTGCCAGGGCAGAGCAGCCCACTTCACCACTTTGTGGCACTGTATGTGGTGGAGGGGTCAGAGAGGGAACAATGCTGTTTGTTTGGTTCCTGCCCCATTTCCAGTCACTTCCCCCACTTCCCACATGTGACTGGTGTCCTTCTAGCTGCTGCCCCGGTACTGAAATCCCAGAGTGGGTCCTTTAAACAGGCTCTCCTGAGAGACTAGCAGTTTCTTCCACTGCCTCAAACCCCACTGGTTTTTACAGCCAGAAGTTAGGAGGCTTTATTTCTTGGAGCTAGAACCCTGGGCTCGTGGTCTGGTCTGAGGCTGGGATTCCTTACTCCCCAGGTGTCCCTCCTGGTTTTTATCTGCCACATGTGAACGTGGGACCACCTGTTCCGCTGGCCACCTCGTCACCACCACACCGTGTCCTCTCCTCCCAGGCTCCCCGTCTCTGCCCCTCCTATCCATCCGGATACATATGGCTTCTTTAAATCCTTGGTTGTTGGACTTCCATACAGTTCGATTTTCTGGCAGTTCTGTTTTGTTTTGTTTTGTTTTGTTTTGAGGTTAGTTGTGATCCTTATGGTTGTGCAAGGAAGTAAAGTATGTTTTCCTTTGCCTCCATCTTGGCTGGAAGTTCTGTTTTGTAATAGTTCTTAGGAGACACATATTCAAGTGCTTAGAAATGAAGTATCAAAAACCCGGCTGCTGGTCCAGAGAGTACGTCACACTCTGTGGCAGAGAACTGGGCTTCAACACTTACCCAAAACTATTACTGGGGGAGAATCCTGACCCTGTTCATAGGTGTTCCTCCTATGTGCCATTGGGTGGCCTTCTGTTCACACAAGTGCTTTATCAGACTCCTTCATTTTAATGCAAGGACGTCACATACTTGTGGTCTTGACCAGTGAACGGCCAAGCACTCGGTTGGTGCTCGTCCCTGCTGTGGAATGCCTGTGGGCCCTGTCAGTTATTCCACAGCGTGGAACTCACTGCCCACCCAATACGTATTGAAACGCCAGTGAAGAAAAATCAGCTGCAGCATCTGCAGCCTATCCTTTTTTTAAGAGTCTCTAAAATCTAGCCCATGTTAGTCCCAACCAGCAGAAAGCTGCATACTTGGGTTCTTTCTTCCCATTGGCTGTATGCTTCTTTCACCCTCCGAGACAACACACAACTCATTCTCTGCTTACCTGGCTGGAAGATGAAGACTTTTTCCTTTCTGCCTTAGAGTCATTCTTGCTTTCTGTTTTACAGTCACTCTTATCACTTGCTAAAGAGGCACCATCAAAACTGGATTTTGTCCTGAGGGAAGAAAATCCAGGAAGTCTATAGAATGAATTTTTTACACTATTCATTAATTTTATTGCAATGAATCTCAATTATTATGCTGCCTCACGAGAAAACCTGACTTGGCTTTTCTCTTCCGGATATCAATAGTCACTCCTACCACTAAGGGGGTTTACAGAGCGAACGTTGTAGAACCAGGGTGACATCAGCAGTGGGGAATCTCACACTGAAGAGATGGTAATTTGTGGAAGAGAAAAATACAACCTAGTGGTGAAAATAATGATATAATCTCAAAAGTATTTCAATCACTATAAAGAGTATAGTAGGCAGACTATCAAACAAAATTGCAGCTATAGCTCAATCAAAAATTTTTTTTGTATTTCAGGAATCTATTAATATTTAACAAGTATTAATTAAATGGGGCATTGTGTTGAATGCTTTGGGACACACAAGAACCTGTGCACATAGCATACATCTTTTTAAGTTCTCAGCACATGAAAAAAAATTGTAACTATGCGTGGGACAGATGTTAACTAGACTTATTGTGGTGAGCATTTTGCAAGGTATACAAGTATTGAATCATATGGTATACCTGAAACTAATATAATGTTATATGTCAATAATACCTCAATAAAAAAGAAAATAAAGACAAAAGACTTCTTAGAAGAGCAGTACATGATTTAGCACCAAAACAAAACATATCATGGGCAGCAGGAGGGGGTATGAGACAACTGGTCTGACAGGAGGACAGGGGAGACCAATGGGACACTGTGGGCTTCACACCTGGGGCCTCATGGGATGAGCAGCATTTAGGTGTAAGGAAAAGAGACAAAACATCCCAGAGTGGGAAAATAGCTGAAATGAAATCAGGATAAGAGGCAAGTCCAGGATTGCCTTCTAAGGTGATTCTATTCTAGTAAAGGGTCTCCATGTTAGTAGCCTTGGGGATCTGCACGTATCTTCAACCCAGTCATGTCAAAGTGGAATGCATGTATGATTTTTAGGGGTCTATTTATGAACAAGTTTTATGACATGATTATGTAGATTTTTTGTTTATTGGGGAAAAATGGCATGTGAAATCCATGATTTCACAATATGATTCCTTAGAATGAGGTACAGTTAAAAAATTCAGTTCAAAGCCGATTTAAGAAGAATCTTAGGCAATCCGAGTGGCATATGGGTGTGACAGAGGGACAGAAATGACTCAAGTTAGAGAGACATCAGGCTCTGGTGTTCTCGGCTGTGGAAAGTCAGACTACATGAGGCCCTAGGCCCCTTCCGGGCTCAGTCTGAATCTGTGATGCTCACACACAGGTGAAATGCCTCTCAGCAACTCAAAGCACAGTGATTTGGATTCAGGTCTGGCCACTGAGCCTGTTCACAGATAGAAATTTCTTTAGAATTCTAGGGAGTACTTTAAAAAAAATGAGTAAACATTTGTATTGTACTTGAAAATAAAATAATTTTTTCAATTGTCAAATTACCTATTATACTATCCACTCATTTGGATTTATCAACTCTACCAATTCAAATTATTATTAATGGAATTGTCAAGACAATGATCAGACCCTTTGCAGAACTATGGACAGCAAATGTGACAAGCAGGGCAGCTGTGGCCTAATAACTTCAAGAGGAACAGCAGAAGGGGCCTGTCTCCATAGCGCTGGTCTCTGGTGGTGTGGGGAGGGGTGCATATTTACATAGAACTGATTTCTTTGGGGCTTCTCAACCATGTTATTCTCACTTCCCACAAGTGACTATGAGCAGGACCACGTATTAAGCATTTCTAGACACTGAGGGCAGAGCCTTAAACCAAGTGCTGGGATCTTTGCAACTATGTAGAGCATATGCCCTGTGAAGTTTAACAAGCATGCCCCAATAACGAGTGTGTTAGTCTCATCTAAAGCCTGGAGAAGTTGGAGTAAAACCAACAGGATTTTACAAGTTCATGCTGTAACCAGTCAATAGCAGTGAAAGACACAAGAAACGACAGGCTTTGTGCTGTCACGGAGGGACTTGTCTGCCAAGTGACAGATGCTGTGACAGGAAACAGCTATAGAAAACACGATTAAAGGAAGAAATTAGATTGAGGCGTGCAGCAAGGATGGAGAGATAACTGGGAGTGACAGAGAAATCTGGGGGAAGAGGGAAGACTTACACTTGGTCCTGCATGAAGTATAGATGTAGAGAGAGGGTGTGGGCTGGGTGGCCGGGAGGGGAGGGAAAGCAGGAGATATTTAATCATCCTTTAGCAGAGGCCAAAAGACGCAGTAGGTAGCAGTCTGCCAATTTTAACGACAGGAAGGAGAGCCATCACTCCCCAACTCCTACAGATCAGTGGCTGCATTATTCGCACCTGACCACTGGTTTAACCATTCTTTTTTCAGGGCTAAAAAGCCATTCTTAAGTTCCTAGTTCTTCTGTCCGTGTGAAGGAAAGCACACAATTGGTGCCTCTGAGTGATGGGGTCCACAGCTCCTCATCTCAAAACTGCCTGCCCCTACCCCCACAGCACCACAGCCAAACCCGCACCTGCCCCAGGAAATGCCTCCCGCCCATGATCACCCAGCCTGGGGATCCCAGGTGGGGTTCCCCTCCGCTCTTTTTCGTGGTTGCCAGGAAAGTGAGACAGCAGGTGTGCACACCCAGGGGCTAAGCTGTCACCCTGGGTGGGCCTCATAAACAACCTGGGCAGCCTTCGCAGGTGCTGTATAAATCTAATCTGGAGTGAGGACCACCCCAGCTTTATCAGAGAGCAAAGTCAGTGCTCGAAGAAAAGGGCAGACATTGGGCAGAAGGCTGGGGCTGGGAGGACAAAAAGGTGCTTCTAGGAAGAGACAAACAAGGAAGGCAAGCGCCAGTGCTGGGATTTCAAGGGAAAACACCTCATTTCCTTCTCAGGGGTGTTATTTGCCTATAGACAATTCTCACTTACTCTTTTAACAACCACCATAACACTAGAAACACCAGCTCCTCCTCCCAGCGACCCCTCCTCCCAAAAAGAGCAAAAGGAACACAATCAGTGTGAGGACTCACCGCAGGCAGATGAGTCTCTTCTGGTCTGGGGACTCGGCCTCGCTGGACAGGGTGGGAGACTGGGCCGTTGGCGACCTGCAGGCCTTCTTTTTCTCCTCCATACCATTCTCAGCCTCTGAGCTGGAGAAGAGAGAAAAACGCTTCACCTTAGACATCCAGAGGGGGGTGGACGGACAAGATGGTGAAGTCACCTCGCTTTCTGGAGAATGGAATGAGCTTCAATCCCCACGAGAAGGCTGAGGTCAACTTGGGCAGCTGTGCCCTTTCTGAATCTCCATTCTAACCCCTCTCAGCTGGCTTCAGCCGGTAAACATCTGACTTTGTGGGGACCTGCTGCCTCCCAGGTCTGCTCCTGTGGGCCTGCTCTGCTCTGCCTGGCTGCTGCAGTGCAGAGCACCTGGAGGCTGGGAGGGCCCTGCACACACTCCATCACGTGCCTTCAGCCAGGTGTGGGCCTTCCTGCTGGGAACCCCCACTGCCCTTTGTTTGCACTTGTCCTGTGCCACATACCACCTTTTGTTGTAGTTCTATAGGTCCTACTCAGGGTTGTTGTTCTTTTAAGCTGGCACCTCTTTATGCAAGTTTCAGTCTTTCATCTATCTGCACAGCCACCCAGGCTGGCTAGGATTATTACCCCACTTTATAGGTGTGGAATCTGAGGCTCTCAGATATTTACTGCAGAACTAGCATCTGACTGAGCTGGTATTCAGATTCAAGTCCACCCAACTGATAGGCCTTTGTGTACACGTGTGTATGCTCTCTCGCTCTCTCTCTCTCTCTCTCTCTCTCTCTCTCTCTCTCTCCCCCTTTCTCCCTTTCTCCCTCTGTCTCCCTCTCTCCCTGTGAATCCATCCCTGCAGCCTCCCAACCACCTATAAAAGCCCCCGTATTAGCTCTTCAGTGCAAGAGCTCCAGCATGAGGTGGGGATCTTGTTGATTTACATACTGACAACAGGATCTAGGACAATGGTGATTTATAATCATAATCAACAGGCTTTTTTTGAAAACTAGATTTGACCTTGGTAAAAAGGAAATAGAAAGGAAAGGCCTTTAAGAGGGCCTGCATGCTGAACCACTATGGATGGAGGTTCAGTGACTTCCATGATGGATGACCAGTGTGGTGGACACAAGAGCATCTCCTCAACCTCAGGAACAGAGGAAACCATTTCCAATGTGGGGAGGAGAGGAAGGGATGAGGGAAGGGAGAAGACAGGTGTTATACATGGATCAGACCCTCTTGGTGTCAGCCTGCACAGCAAAGAACTCAGAGATAATACTCCTGAGAATATGAGAACCCCATTGTGACTGAGCATCGGGGAAGACCTATTCAATAGCATTGCTATGACAGTCTAGTTCATTTTAATCCTAACTTACCACTCCTTTGGTATCTTTACCTGCAAATGAACATGCAAGCAGGAAATGTGATTGGTTAGTTTAAGCTTTGTGGTTGCTGAATTACCACTTTTTATAGCACATGAAAATTCCATTGTGGTGTCAAAATCAAGACCACATATCTCTCACAAGGTAGCCCTTAAAAATCACTACAAATGGCTGATGCCCTCATTTTGTAGTTAACACTTCTCTTTTCCTAAATAGGTAAGTATTTAAGGACAAAGTCCAACCCTCCACTTCTTCAGTTCTTTTCAAAGTAGTTAGACAACTTATGTATGGCAAAAGGGCTCAGTCCATAGCTGAGCTGCATTATGTGACAAAAGGTACACGGAAAGCCTTGAACACAGGAAAACACAGCTTTGGTTTGAAAGAGAGAATTTTATTTAAATTTAGCATCATGACTAATTTGTGGACTCAAAGAATTTTAGAACTGTTAAGGAGCCTTCAAACCTATCTCTGCCTTTTCTCCCCATCCCCCAAGTCACTGCTGTTCTTCCAAAGCATCAAGCAGAAAACCACACGAGAGTCCCTCTTGAAGTAGGAAGACTAAGTGTGTGCAGAATGTCACTAATCCATCTCAGCGGTCATTCAACCCTTTACTGCATTTTAGGCAGGGGCAGATTAGGACTTAGAGGCAGAGCCATCACTGTCCTGTACAGCGCCTCCATATGCTTTGAAAGAGCCGCCCCCATCAGGAAACACTCGTAAAGAGGTGCTCCTGCTTGGATGTAGCCCCACCCAGATACACGGCCTGGCAGAGATAAGGCGCCTCTTGCTCTGGCCAGAAAGAGCCCAGAAACAAGGTGCAAGGAAGCACAGCTCGGCGGATTTCAGCCTCTCCTTGCCCCTTGACGGTCAGGCACTTCTGTGCAATGCAGGGCACTAAGTGCTTCACCACGTGTGGTGGTCCTGATTCAGGGCCCTCAGGTTGGCACTGAGAAGGTATAGTGCACACCTCTTTATCAACCCACCCACAAGCAGTGCCTTTTAATGACAGAACATACAGGTCTGCTCAAGTTAATACGGTTTCTTTTTACATAGTCTCAATCTTACTTTTCTTTAAACTTGCACTTGGCCTCCAGCACTGGTTCTGTCCTTGAAGATCTTGGGGGAGGGGGAGGGAGTTACAAGCTCCAACATCTTCCAACCCAGTAGTCTCTGCTCTGCTGCTGCTGGGTTTATAACTCACCAGGCCCCAATTAATGCATCCCTGTTCTGTTACCTTTTTTCCTCGCAAATAGCTTACTTATCCAACTACTAGACCAAATCTCTTAAAAGTAGGGAACGTCTGTCCCCTCCCCGCTCCACTGCACTCAGCTCAGCAGTTTGCCCACAGTGGTCGTTTATATGTGTTGATCGATGTGGGATTAATTCTGTAGCGTCTCAAAGAGTAAGTGAAATCCATCTATGGACCAACTCAATTTTAGATTTCTGTTGACGCTAACTTGAAAATGCTATGGAAACTCAAGCAAGTTAATTCCTACCACAGGAGAGACTGTTCCGCAAGCACGCTACCTCTCAGGTCTTGTCAGCAGCAGACTTAAACTACACAGAAGCCAAACAGCAGAGACTCTGGGGTTTGAGTGAGCAGAACGCGGAGGGGAAATGCAATGCTCGTGACTGTCAGCGAAGCTGACAACGGAGAAGCAAGGCCCTTTCAGGGACACTGACTAAGAGTCAACAAAACAAAGTAAAACAAAACAACACAAAACAGCAACAAAAAATCAGTTATCTTTTCTTTCTTTAGGATAAATTTTTAAAAAATTTAAATTCAATTTACTGGGGTGGCATTGGTTCCTAGGGTCATGGGTTTCAGGTGTACACTCTGATACATGATCTGTTTATTGCACTGTGTGCTCACCACCCAAAGTCAAGTCATCTTCCTTCACCATTTAATTGCCCCCTTCACACTCTACTACCCCCTACCCCTTCCCTCTGCTGACCACCATGCTGCTATTTGTCTGTGTCCAGGAGCTTCAGTTTTACATCCCACATGAGTGAAATCATATGGTTCTTAGCTTTTCCTGACTGACTTATTTTGCTTAGCATAATATTCTCAAGGTCCATCTATGCTGTCACAAATGGCAGTATTTCATCTTTTCTTGTGGCTGAGTAGTATTCCACAATGTATATGCACCACATCTTCTTTATCCACTTCTCTCCTAAAGGACACTTTGGTTGTTCTCCTCTTTCATCAGATGTTTATGGGAAGAAGCCCTGCTGGCAGGGCAGGGTCCTCAGGGCTGGGCCAGTGAGAGAGATGAGTAAGGGGTGATTATAAGCAGCTATAGAAGCAGCAGCCGATGCTGGAATCACAGGACCGACCTTCACCTGGCCATGGCAGGTTATTTCTTCTCCCACCTCCATCCCAATTTAAGCATCAGTTGTGGGCCCTGAAAGCTTTTCAGCAGCAATTTCAGAGCAGTGAGACAGAGAGCCAGGCTTATGCTGGCCAGGCCCGACTTCACCTACGAGGGGACAGCAGCTTTATTACCAGGTAGCAAGTGCTTGTGTTACTGAGACACTGACATACCCTGTTACACAATCTACAAATAAAAAACAGGTAGACAGTCCCTATCAATAGCTCACTATTTGTCAATTCCCAGGCCTCATTAGTCTGATGACCACCTGAATTGGGTTTCACAAATATTCAGAATTAGAATTCTTACATGGGGTCAACCATCATTCCTCCTGGAGAGAGACTCTGTGAGTTTATGGTTCTACTGTCACATCAGCCACATCAGTGTCCCGGGCCTGTCCCTCCTGCTGAGAACGTGTTGTACTCAGGCTTCACCTCACGCAAGTCAAAGTAAGTAGCTACTGGGCGCAATGATGATGAAGCTGCATCGCAGGGAAACCAAAACAAGCACCTCACTGTGGTTCCCATCAGGAAGCTGTCTTCCTTTCTAATTACAGTGGCAAACACCTGTGTGTGAGTCTACCTTCAAGGTAAATTGGTCTAAGCTAACAAAATGTCACTAAACTCCCTTATAATAGTAAGGGGGAGGGTAATTTTATGTCCATTATCATTCTTTAAAAATCCCTGACCACCATTTCCTAAAAGCACAGTCTGGACCAACAGAGGTTTAGAAGGGACTCGGAGAGAGCAAATGTCCCAGCAGAGCGCCTCCGTAGGATAAAGTCCTCCCAAGGGACTGTCGTGATTCGGGCCAGGTCTATGCAAGTCCAGCATTGCCGAGACCCTGTACTGAATACTGGCTGCACGTGGACTCTCCCAGACCTGGGCCGCACAGACCTTGTTTTTGGCGTGCTGCCTGCTTAGTGGCTCCATGGCTGGCAGGCCAGGGCGGCAACACTTGGGAAGCAGAGACGGGCTACAGGGACAGAGGAAGGCTCCGGGGATGGCTGGGCAGCAGCCATAGTCCAGAGACATCAATCACATGAACTGAAAATAAGGAAGCAGAAGGTGCAGGGGTTGTGATGGAGACGGGGACCTCCCCAAGGCCCTCAGCCTCTCTAACAGTGGATTGCACTCAGAATCTCCCAAACTCAATGTTTGTAAGTTAGGACGGAGAGCCCTTCATTTACAATTCTGATATACATTTGTGTAGAAACTTTAAATTTTACTTCTTTATCTATTTACACATTTATTTCTAAAGAGGTACTAGAAGCACAAGTCCACAATTCAAAAGTTAGAAATGAAAAAACAAATCTCCCTCCATCCCTGTTCCACGGGGTACCTACTATTGCCCCAACTCCTGAGTGTC